GGCGCGATTGCCATACAGAATCGGCCCCACCCTGGTATTTAAATAATTTATACGCCATTTTATAGGTCTATTTGATAAAAACCGATATACCAATTTTCAACTTTGTACTCATCTTATGGCCGAGATATCATTGAAAATATGCCAAAGTGGCCCCTTCTTTCAAACTCACTTTTTGGCGTAACCATAAAAGATATCGAAAAATTTTTACGTGATTCTACTCATATTGACTCAGACCACATTATGTAGAACAATCGATTCCAAAAAATCGTTTACTACTAGCTGAAAAAGACAAAATAATTTTTCAATTGATTATTTCGGGTAGTGCATTTATTTGGACCACTTTCTAATTAGCGTTATTCGAAAGCCTATTGTTTTTTCTTTGAGTACTACAAATATTTTTCAAATCAATTTAGTGGAACACATTGGAAAATTGAAAAAAACAGAGCCAGTACACCCGGGCGTAGTGCTAATAGTACCCTGCAATTGCATAGAGTTCGTTCGGACGCAAAGCAGTGCGCGATACGCCGAAACGATTCTTAAGAAATTGTGAATGCGAAAATATTATTTTATAGTTATATGTATAAATCACGGAGTTTGAAATTTTTAGACATTATTAGTTTTACTATATTAATTAAATCACTAAAACTAGTGGTGTATCGTGCCTTAAGGCAAACTACTGGAACTTCCTGTACTGTGATGAAATAAAAATATTCAATGCTTTCAAATATATTATTATAAATACTGTAACTTTTATTATTCGAATTTATAGACAAAATAAAAGTGCTTATAAATTGAACGATGGTGTTTAAATATGTTAGCCTGAAAAGTGAATGAACAAAACTTAATGAAGCGGAGTTAGAATGAAGCTTTGAATCTAATTGCATAAACTGAATGGCAAAATTAAAATTATTTATTTGATTCGAATTATTTTCGATAATAATTTTTGCGAATTAAAAAAAATATATGTTTTAGTTTTTTTTTTTTGAAAAACAATCTTGTCGTCCAAAAAAGCAAAAGCTTTTTTAAATCATTTAAATCGGATTTTTCGTTTTCTTAAAAACTCGGTTTCTATCTTTGCTCCGTATCTCCGACTTGTATTTGTTAAAAACTGATCAGTACGTCTCCCCATCAGTAGGAATCGAATGTTCATTACAACATTCATACACGAAATATAACACAAATACACAGACACACATATCAATTTTTTCTATTTTATTCCAAAATGTTCAGAAACCTTCGAAACGTGAAGATGTGCAAACATTTTCGATTGCGGTTTTTGAAGGATTACAATAACTTACCGTACGGAAAGTTAAAAATATATACCGAAATTAAATGCATTTAAATTGTCACTATATTATAAGTAGATGCGAATTAGCTAATACAAAATCAGTATAAAAAAACACGATCTTTCGCATAAACCACACAAAAGATACAAATATATAAATAATATAATTTTCGAAATAAATTAATTAATATATTTTATATTATAAAAATAATGATTATTAGAATACTTTCAGTAATAATTTTTGTAAATTACTGAAGTACTATATAAAAAGCTTCTACATCAATTTTTTTTTATTTATTTTTCATAGCAAACTATACAAAGTACATTCAGCTATATTTTATTAGAGGTATATATGTTTTATTAGAGGTATATATGTTTACATCAAATGACTGTGAAATTGTAGTACTGATAAAGAATGGTCACAATAAGGGCTTTATTGTAACAATGTTACAACTATCATTCAAAAAAAATGTTTTTTTGGGTTTGTTGAAACTACAATGTTTCATTATATCATTAATTTATATGTATACATATCATATAACTATAAAATAAATATTTTCGCATTCACAATTTCTTAAGAATCGTTTCGGCGTATCGCGCACTGCTTTGCGTCCGAACGAACTCTATGCAATTGCAGGGTACTATTAGCACTACGCGCCGGGTGTACTGGCTCTTTTTTTTCAATTTTCCAATGTGTTCCACTAAATTGATTTGAACAATATTTGTAGTACTCAAAGAAAAAACAATAGGCTTTCGAATAACGCTAATTAGAAAGTGGTCCAAATAAATGCACTACCCGAAATAATCAATTGAAAAATTATTTTGTCTTTTTCAGCTAATAGTAAACGATTTTTTGGAATCGATTGTTCTACATAATGTGGTCTAAGTCAATATGAGCAGAATCACGTAAAAATTTTTTCGGTATCTTTTATGGTTACGCCAAAAAGTGAGTTTGAAAGAAAGGGCCACTTTGGCATATTTTCAATGATATCTCGGCCATAAGATGAGGTACAAAGTTGAAAATTGGTATATCGGTTTTTATAAAATAGACCTATAAAATGGCGTATAAATTATTTAAATACCAGGGTGGGGCCAATTCTGTATGGCAATGCGCCCATACCCTTTTGTTTACATTTCTATGGGTTCCGTATCATCTTTTGTCCGTTATATGATTAGACATATGTACATCAAATTATCAAATATTTTATAAAGATTTTAATAATACGTATAAATTTTGTTTACATTTCTCTGGGTTCCGTAACATCTTTTGTCCGTTAGACTGCGACTTTCGTCTCTATGAAGATATCTTTCAATGCAGCGCGATTGTTTTGAAAAAAAGTTCAAAATTTCCAAAATATTTCAAAATACAAAAACGATTTTTTTTTCATAAAAGTCATTTTTTTTAATTTAAAATTTCTCAAAAATCTATTTCTTTCAAAGTTTAAAAAAAAGTTAATCGTTTTAAAAAAAATAATAATTTTTGTTACGGAAAGTTACAGCAATTTGCTTTAAGGCACGATGCCATACACCACTAGTTTTGCAATTTTTTCATAATAGTTACGACTCATACTATCACCTCGATACGGCTTGACGTTGAGTTCTGGAACACCATGTATATATTTGGGTATTATACCTGTTCCCACAGGGGTATCTTGCTGACTCTGTTGACTATGTTGACTTTGGGTGTGTTCATGACGTTGTGGCCGGCAGGTTGTTTCAGTGCCAGAAACCGCGGGTGGCCCTCGGGACGGTACCGACGACGCTCGTTCTAACATCTGAATACGTGACTAAAAATGAAAAAAAAAATCATGATATGACATTCCTATATAATTTGTTGTAATACTCTATAGTCTATAGATACCAATGTGTATGAATATTATAAGATCTTACTTTAGTGTGCTTTCCTAAAGATAAAACTGGCGCAGGAACCACAGCTCTGCTACCGGTGAGAGCTGTTACATTCCGGGAATTAGAAAATTTCTTCCGTTTTCGGCGGAGAACTGCTAACGCACCCAGGGCTCCTGAAAATGAATATTTAGGATTATTATTAAAATATCTAATTTATTCTTTAATAATCAAATTGAATTATTTCACGAAATATGGGAAATCCTATATACATTATACATTTCAATACTTTGCACAATCATCTCAGAAAAAAATTGACCTTAAAACTTTCGCTAATTGTTATGTATTTTTGTTAAATTCACATTAATCATAATAATTATGATTATTCATATTAAATTTATCACTGTTTTCAAAATACTATTAGCCGTTATAAAATCTTTTGCCCTACCTTTCCTTTCCTCCAACTGCAACGTAGTTATTATTTCGTATTGTAAATTTTTCAGAAAATTTTAATTAATATGTGTTTTCTACTTTTACTTATTATGATTTGCCGTCACTACTAGTAATTTTTCTTATGTGTGAGTGATTTTCTGAAGTGATATGCATGATTTTATTTTCCATAAATAATTTTAGAAAGCACAACATTTTACTTCTGTATAAAGAAACACCTATTCTGTGAAATTTATTTATTTCAACATCTAAAAAATATCTTCCAATATATTCCAATCATTCGTAAGTAGGGTTTGTCAGTTTTCAAAAACCTGTTTTTTGGCAAAAATTATGGAATTCGAAAACCGGTTTTTTAGTGAAAAAAGTCGGTTTTCACTGTATAAATGGAAAATGACAAATATATGCCAAATATAAAAGATAGATGAAAGCGTTTTGATTCTTGAAATCATATGGTTTAAATAGCATTTGATATGTTATCAGTCTGCAATTGTTCCCAGAAAGGTTTTGATATATTAATTTAGATTGCTATCCGGTGTATATATTAATTTAAATCATTGTGACTTCTTCTTGAAGAAGTAACTTCCTCTACTCAAACTTAAAAAAAAGTTTTAAACCCCAGAAGCTACAAATGAAAAAACAAAAAACTTAATATTATTATATCAGGCTCCAAAAACAATTAAGCATAATTTGGTCGTATGAGAGTATTTTCTATTTCAGGTAATTTTGTGAGTAAACAAAGGACACGTCTAAGTAGCAATTCGATAGACGTTCTCAATTTTCTTAAATCATATTTTAAAACAAAAAAAACAATTAGAATGTTTAAAATTAATTAATTAAAATTGCTCGAAACATGCGAGTTAATTGTTTTTAAAACTAAAATTGATATTAACAAGTATGTATCAACATGTATCTAATAATTTTTTATTTATTTTTTCAATTTTATGAATGTTTTTTGTTTAAAAATGTATTATTTTTATTTATTCGAAAACTTCCTTTCACTATCATAAAAATATTTTCATTCTCATATGTGAAAATGATGCATGAATAACGAATAATTATTTTCAAAGTTATTAAATCAAGATAATCTATTATTTTTTAGTTCTACCAATTAAAATTAAAATAATTTTGTTTACTATCCATAAAATTGAACAATAAATAAATTTAGTCAAACACTGCTCTAAATCACATTAAATTTGCGGATACATTACAGAATATTCGAGCAAAAATTTATTTTTTATATAAAATTCTAAAACCGGTTTTTAGTAAAATTAAAATTCGAAAACCGGTTTTCTGAAATGTCGGTTTTTGTATAAACCCTATTCGTAAGTTGTGATTATTACCATGGGCTTGTGCAGACGTTGATCCTTCAGGAGCGCCAGGTTGCCCTGTTGATCTCTCCAAGCTTCTGTTCGAATCCGTCGCAGATTCTGTAGGAGCATCGTCGCTGCCTGGACTATTGCTAAATCTATCAGCCGATTCTTGAGTCCCATTGCTGACAGTCATATTCCCAGAAGATTGACTGACGACGGCTGTCGATGCGCGGCAAACGGAATCTTCCGACCTAAAATTATTTATTTAAAATTACAATTCATAAATGATTCATTAAATTTAACACTAAACCTACAAAGTACCAGTCAAATTGCCTGTTTGCATATTTTTTGCAAAACTACATATTTTTAAACGTTGTAATACTGCTATCAAACTACTTGATAATTCTTGGAATATTTTTTTTTATTTGCATAGAAATATTGCCGATCAAAATAATATACATTTTTTAAGACAATATGCTGGGTGTAAATATATTTAAAAGATTATTTCCTATGAAATATCTCTTTTTTTAATTTTTTGACATTTTGACCGTATGGCCATTTTTTTAAATCTTCGAGTAAGAGATTCCTCGGTTAATTCTTTTAGATATTTGTTTGCGTGAGCTGGTAATTTTTCGTGGTATTTTTTTATTCTTGGAATATGCATGTAATATTTTTTTCACTCTTGAAAAAAACGCTCTGTGGCCAAACTCAATATGACCGCGAGCAGTAGCAATATTTATACAAGAATTGTAGGTAGGTTTGGTGTTAATATAAAAGACCCGTTTTAAATTCGTTTTTCAAGAAATTTAATATAAATAAAAGTTTAATACCTATTAGTAAGCATTTTAATGTTAATAGAGTTGAGTTGTACAACTCTTAAATATTTTATAATTATGAGCGATTTTTTTTAGAAATATACCTAGGAGGCGTCCATTAATTACGTTAGCGTGTTTTTCAAGGATTTTTGAATACTACCTCGTCCTTGGTGATATATGGTTATATTCAAAATTATCCCCCTCCCCCACAAAACATAACGTGTATTTTTAGTTACGCAAAAAACTGTAAAATTTTTGAATTTTTTTTGAAAATGTTTGAACTTAAAAAAAATAGTTAAAAAATAAATACACGTGATGTCTTACTATACCCTTCCCTCCTCCACGTGATATTTCATGATTTTTTTGTCAAACCCCCCTTCCCCTAAAAACCTCACGGGATTAATGGACGCTCCCCTACATATCATACAGACTGAACTATTTAATGATATAATAAAGACTTAAATTTAATTATCAATTAAAAATTTAAATTTGGATTAACTTCGATTTAGAATTCAATAAAGGTCTCTAATATGCACAACTATACATTTAAAACGTAGAAATATTTTTGGTCTAAATTTTTAGTCGTTATATGAAGTAAGTAATTTTTAAAATATGTATATACAATTTACATATAATGAATGTAAGCTAATGGAATTTGAAGATAAGACCAATAATAACAATTTATTTATTCGACACATCAAATTTTATTTATATTGAATGAATAATTATGAACTTTAGTCTTACTTCTAAATTATCTACTACCTGTTCTTCTAAGGGAGCCACTAATCACGTGATAGATTTTTAAGGAATTTTGGACTCCCTTCCATTAGTAATACGTGGATATTTAAAATTAGTCGTCCCACCATTACGTCCTACACCATTACGTGTATTTTTTGTACTTGCAACAAATTGTAAAATTTTTGAAATTATCTGGAAAAATCTCGGATTATATCTTACTACTTCCCCCAGGTGATATTTTGTAAATTCTTATCAAGCCTTTCCCCCCTTTTAAGAATAGCGAGATTAATGGATGGATTAACTTTCTAGGCTAAAATAAAAATAAAAAAATAAATTGGAAAAATATAACAAAAATAACCTTGATCTACTGATGAGTCGACTAACTCGACCGGATTTTGCAGCTTCTATAAGTGTGCCCCAGCGTCGCTTATGTGAACTGCTTCTCTTCATATGAAACCTGGACATAAAAGAGATTTTTTTTATTATTTTATAAAATATACATATTTGTACAATTAATTATTATAAAAATTATTTGTCTCCAAAGATAAATTTCCTCCATATAATAAGGTAGTTAAAGAATTTATAGACAAAAATAAATTCATAGTATTATAATTATATCTTGCCTTGGTGCCAATCTTCCAAATCCCCTTTGGTGAGTGTCACCAAATGGTGATGGCCCAACGGGCATTTGTGCTTGAGAGTGCGAATGCGAATGTGTGAGTTGGTGCAATTTTCTTGGAGTACCACCTCCGTTTCCTCCAGTAAAAATTCCAGTAAGCGTAGAACCAAAATCTTGTGATTGACTATGATCGTGCTGGGCCGATTGCTATAATAGACATATTATTTTAATATGACAGATAAAAATCCCGAATTTATGTAAAATATTATGTACTTTTATTTGTAACAAAAACTTTCTAAATCTGAAAATCTGAATCTGAAAATCAAATTTAAACCTTTCCAATAACTAACGAGATATAAATAAGATAATTATAACTTTTCATTCAAAATTACGATTTTGTCAAACACCAAAGCTAAACATACTACAGCATTGTATGCTAATATTATTAATACACTAAACCCCAACCTGCTGTAGCGATGCTATGAATTCTGCAACCGGTGGCAAAGTGTGGGTGCTTCCCGTTGGGGGAGGTGCAATATTAAATCCTTTCATGAGGCGACGTTCCTTTTGACGATTCTTCTTACCACCAGAACCTATGAAAAGAATGTTTACAAATACACAATAAAATACATCTCAAAGTCAAAGTAAATGCATCTCAGAATAAACTTATTGTGATTACATGTTATACGAATTTTTGCTTTTAGAAACAATATTATATTAAAAAATTGAAGTACTAGTATCGCCAAATGATACCACAATAGATACTTAGCTTTACCTAATAATATATCAATAATACAAATTCATACAAAATGATATTGTAGGGTAAAGCACAAAGGACCAATTTGACTATCATTATGTGTAAACTAAAAAATATCACTATGTAAAACAAATAGAGTACATCACAACACGTATCAAACAAGAAACTATGAAACTATGCCCGGTAAGCTTTTTTAGCTAATTATACAAATACGTTTTTTTAACATATTTTGATAAAACTTGTCATATGTCCCTTTTTAACCCATAGATAGCGTAAATAAGGACTGCTAGAGGACAAATATTATTGGGGCCTTATTTTTAAATTTAAAGCGATTTTACGAAATAATAGCTACATTTTTTAACCAATGTAAAATACAAATTTTATGGGTACATTTTTTACAAAGATCACACTGTACATAACTTTGATCCGGGTTTTCGCAAGAAATATTCATTCAGCAGAGTTCGATTAACTATTAATTGAATTCATCTCTTGCAAAATGGCGTTTTAAACTAAATTTACTTTTTCATTTACTATTTATATTGTATATAACTTTATCAGTATAAAGATTCGGTTAGTACTTTTTTCCACCCCACCCATATGTAAGCTTTTATAGAGGCTATATGGAAAAATTTGAATCTAACTTAAAAAAGAAACATATCTGGTACAACTTCAGGTATCATAAACTAAAGAATAGTGTTCAAAGCACAAAAAATACGAACGAAAAAAATATTTATGTTTTGAATATTGATACCGTTCATCTCTTGATACCGACGTTGTAAGAATTAAGGTGTAACCTTTGTTGTCCTCTACTTCAAAATAGCATCGTTAACAAATTTTTAACTTTACTTGTTTTTGAGATAATGGTGGTGGTTCTTTTTAACCGCAGACTTTCAAGCCTTGCATTACCCTATATAAATCAAGCTTTTTGAATCAACTCCGTAAATTTTTGTATTTGTAGAAAATATTAAGTATGAGTAAAGTTGTATAAGAGACAGTTTTATAATGGAATATTTTTCTGTTTTTTTGTTTTTTTGTTTGTTGTTTGAACAGCGATCATAATTTGAGAGTCCCTTAAGCTGTTGTGCTAATTTGACTCAATACTCTATTTAATACTAGTCGATTCTACATATGGCAACCCAATCGTTGTCCTATCTCTGTATGAGGAATTATTATTAAATGTTCTGTAATAGATTAAATAATTTCTGTCATCCCAGTGAATAATAAGTAGTTAAGTCAAATTTTGGCCAAAAAAGTCTTTAATCGCGGTATTAACTATTTCTCTGGAAGTAAATAGTAAAACGAAAAAAAAAATGATTAGAAACAAACATCAATAAAATATTTTATATAAAATTTAAACCATTAATTTTAACCCTTTCGGGACGGTATTTAAGAAATCGGTTTGTGTAATATTTTTAATGTGTGATATATGTTGAAATAAAAATAAGAAAAATAATTTTAAATAATAGGGGGCGGCTGGTGAGGACCAACCGTCCTACAAAAACAAATAAAAATTTTTACTGGTACGTATGTATACCACAAATTTAATTTAGTAATAAATACAAAATGTGTGAAACTAAGTTATATTTGCTGGAGCTTTCTTGTCCACTGTAATAACTAATAATTACCGAAAAACGCAAGTAGTTTATTGAAAATAGTATAATTTTTGCAACGTGGTCTGGGGGGACAAAAAACAAAACGGGACTTGTTCTGAATTAAATGTTGTTTAATGGGCCATATGTGTTTTATATCACATCTAAAAACACTTTGACTTACATTATGTAGTTGCATAAATTGCATTGCAATAAATTCAACTGTGGGTACCATAGGTTAATATTGATCTTACCATTGCTAGATAAAGTCTTCTTTTATTCTTCAGATTAATATTGTTGTTAAATTTTAGTAAGGGGTACAATAAATATAACAATCTATTAGCATAATTAACTTTGCATTTGATATGGTCGCTGAAATTGAGTTTTCTATCCATACTAATCCCAGATACTTAACTTTGTCTCTCCATAAGATATTATTGCTGTTTATGTGTATGTAGGATTGAGGAACAGGTGATTTTCTTCTTTTAGTAAATAAAATAGCTTCTGATTTAGTCAAATTTTCCATCTATTAGCATAATTCATGGTAGAATGTGCTATATTACGCTAGTAATAAATATTTGAAATTAAGCTTTGCAAAATAGTGAAAATTGACTGATCCACTTATTCACTGGGATGACATTTTATTGATGCAGCAATATTGAATCAAGGCGATTTATAAAATATTTTGAAAATCGGAAATGTTAAATATTTTGAACTTGATTATAACCTACGTCGCAATATAGCGTTGTTCAACAAATCTAAACTGTGCATCAAACAAATCAATTTAATTCAATTTCTCAATTACACATTCAGCCAAGTGAATCCATTCGTAATAAATTGAATAGAACAATCGACTATGTCTTACCCGAACCGGCTCCCGTGGCAGTGGACGTGTTCATGCCGCTGTTCTTCAGAATCTCAACTAGTTCGCATCGGAACGCCGAAATGTCTTGTTTGATCTCGTTTACGTCGTCCTCAGTCACCCCCTGCGATTCCGCTTTGCGCTGTTCGACGGTCACGTAGCGACGTACCAGATTTCTCATGATACTCTGAACATTGGATTAATTTATTTTAAATCTCTTACGAGTAGGATGTAGACTATAAATAGATTTTATTATGGTTTCAATCATTGGTGGACAACTTTTTAACGCGCATTTGCGATTTGTGTGAAATAGTAAAATGAATCTCAAAGGCGTATTAAAATGTTACTGATTTTGATGAACACTAATGATTTTAATCATAAAATCTAGACCTAAAACTTATAATCTAAACCAAAATTCACTTTTGTGTTCAAAAAAAAAATTACTTACAATATTTTAATTTCTCAAAAACTATTTTTATTCATATTACGATATTATTAGACTCTGTTAATATCAAATTCATAATTACACAAGAGCTTATAGTAAGAAGTAAAAGCATAGTAACAGCCGTTTTCTAATATGATTTTACACATAATTAAAATATTTCTATTTTATTCTTTTCTATTCTACCCCTGCATAAAATTGACTTAGTTACTGTCCCGCAGTCCGATGTAGTAAACAGAATTGTGCAGGTGCGTCATTTTTGACATTATTTTTGACAGATAATGTAAAATTCGCTTCGTTTCGTAGAGATAGAATCAGTGAACCTCAAAATATATTAATTAACAAAAACCGTTACAACAAGCTACCTCTTTATACAATTTCAGTTTGCGTTATTATTAATTTTAAATTGTATATATCTTATTTTGTTGCAAATTTATTAATCTTTGTTAATGTGTAACAATTTTTGTGTATGCTAAATTCAAATTGTTTAAATAAGCGGTTTCCAACCTGTAGGGAGCACCCCCTCAGGGGGGCGCGTACATCTGTTTCCAGAATATTATTTTTGGAAATAACCCAACATTTTTGAAATTATATAAAAAAATTAAAAAAAAAGTTGTGTACATATTTTTACATAATTTAATTTACATATTGCATATTAATTTGTAGTCTGATATCAGTTGAGTATTTATAAAATTAAATTGTTGAAAAAATTAAGAGTGGCGCCACAATCTTTTTTATTAGAGCAAGGGGGCGCGGTCCATAAAAGGTTGGAAACCGTTGGTTTAAATAGTTATCTTGATTAATGTGATCAAATTCCACGTGGGGTTAGTTGAAATAAAATCTTGAGGCTACTTGTACCATACAAGAATTATATTCAGATGAAATGTATGTAAATTGTGTTACAGGAGACACTATATCTTTTACTTGTATTTATAATTAATTGTAGTTTATTACAAGAAACCTCATATATATTATTTGTATTAATTATACTTTGCGTTCATTTATGGAAAGAATTCCTTAGAAACAAGTCAATTTTTATAAAAATATGTAAAAAATAAATTATCAGAGGTATTATTATTATTTTTGGGTCGTTACTACATGCTTCGGTACATGTTACAACTAACCCCAATCACAGTAACACTATTCTTTTTCTGGAAAATAATTAATTTAAAATAATGAAGAATGTCTATAAAATTATTTTTCACTTGAAATGGTAGCGAAATAGTTAAAAAATATATTTAGCTTCATTTCGTAGAGATATAATTAGTGCACCTCAAAATAAATTGATTTGAAAAAAGCGTTACATTCAGGCACACTCTTATAAAAACAAAACAAAAATTTTTATACTTTCATCAACAATATGTTCAGAAGACTGCTAATTCAGTAGATAATGTTTGCTATTTTCTAAATGTTAAATAATATAATATATAAACGTTGAAAATGTAATATTAAACTGCTTTTTCATGTCAATCGCTGACTCTTCGAATACTAGTATGAGATTGAAGAAAAAACAACTCATTGATTTACTTTAAGTAATTAGGGCTTTCATTGGAGAGTTTTCTAAACAAGCCATATTTATTTTGAGTTCAAATAGATTCTAATAGCTTATAGAACTTAGATTGTAATTGTTATTTAATTGTAAACGAAAAAAAAAGATTTATTTAGAAGAAAAAACAACCCATTGATTTATTTGAAGTAATTAGGGCTTTCATTGGAGAGTTTTCTAAACAAGCCATATTTATTTTGATTTCAAGTAGATTCCAATAGCTTACAGAATACTTAGATTCTTATTGCTATTTAATTGTAAATGAAAAAAAAAACTGATTTATTAATTTAAGTAAGTTGTTTTCACTCTTCAAAATATTGAAAATAAATTTGAGTAGGCAAATAATCATTCAACAATTTGATTCTTAAGTCGTTATACATACTTAGATTAAAAAAAAAATATCATAATAAAATAAAAAAATATTAATTGCTCACCTGGTATCGAAAGTCTCTTTCGCTAGCTTGTTTCACCTTCCGCTGAAACAAAACAGAACCAGAGCACACTTGGACTAAAATTAAATATCTTTAATTTAAATTACTCATAAAGGAAATATATCTTTTACATCGAATCAGATTTACCTTCAGATTTTCAATTACGATCTATATTAACTCCAGAAAATATTTCAATTATTACTATTAAAAATGGCTATGTTTATATGTTCAATTATAAACATATTATAATTCAAAGTATATTATTCGATCGTTTAACTATAAGGCTTAGGAAATAAATAAAAATAATTTAATACTGCCAAAATACTAGAGAATGTTTATAAATAAATATAATACGTCTTGTGTTATCTTCATAAAATTTTCGAAGTAATGACGCCCATCAAGCACCTGCCAAGTTTAACGATGTTGACACGTGTGTTTTGTTAGAAATATGTGTCAATATCTTTTCTTTCGATAAAAGATGGGTTATATAAACATGTTATTTGTGTTCTGCACTGCGATTTATCGAAAATGGGGCAAAGAAACTTCAAGGTATTCACCGTGCATAAGTTATGTACCGTTTAAAACATTCTCTTGACATGCACGCCCAATAGGCAAATTTATTGCAACAAATTATTAGTGAAAAATACAGCTGCAGTTAAAACAAAAAAACTGTGATAGCTTTTTATAAAACTTTATTTTATTAGCGATTTATTTTAGAAGCTAGTTAATTGCCTCGATATATTATATGATGGAAGAATTGGAAATACTAGTACCTATAACTTTTACGTATGGATTTTTTAGTAGTTTTTCATTTTGTAAAAAATCAATATCACGTACGTAAGATATTTATCATATTTTTCTAAGAATTGAAATAGATTTAAAATTAATGAAATTCATGTTACAGAAATAATACAATTATTAACTAACATTAATGTATGATAATCATGAATAAATAAATGCATTCACAAATATATTCATTAATATTTTACCATTTTTACAAAAATTCATTTATAAAGAGATAGCAAAAAAAATTTCAAAGACTGAATGTATTATACATAGGAAGATTTCATATAAAAAACCGTTCTCAAAATAAATACTCACTCGAATTGTTCGCATATGTTCTTTTTTCATGGACCTCGAATGTCCGCACATTTTTCTCTTCAACCATTGAGCGGTATACCAGATGGACTTCGGCGTTGGTATGGTATTGAATGGAGGTGGTACAGTACCGCCTTCCTCGAAATAACTTATCCACAATTTGCTACGAGCGAATTTCCACTCGACATCTGCTCGTTCCTAAAAAAATAAGATTAATTTATATAAAAATACATGAATATTTCTTTTAACAGCGGATAGTACTACGTATTTTATGAGCTGTGTTTGCTATACTACAACACACCACAGTATTTTACACGAAGGAATAACCCAGCCAGGTCAACCACTATTCTTTTTTATGTGTAGATTATATATATTATAAATGTATATCTAATTGAGTTATCGCATACATGTTGCTCACAATATATTTTTACTTAAGATTCTAAACCTAAAGAATCTAAAAAATCTGATACCATACTGCTTTATATCGAGCTGACCAAAGTTGGGATCAAACTAGTATCTGCGTATGATTTTAACCAATGCCAATGGATAAAAATATGATGACTAATGCTGTATCTGAAATTGTAAGATTTCAAATTGATGAAATATTTCTATTACAGCCATTTACCAAGATGTCATTGATGGGCCGATTCTGCCGCACAACAGACCAATGTTATGGCTGTGCATTCAGGCGTTTTACACAAAACTGCAACGTCACTCGTATGTTATGAAGCTTTGCCAGAAAAACCCTGTTATCGAAGACCGTTTTTTGATATTTGTGCGGTTTCTAGGTTAGGTTTTCTATCTGACAATCTGAGAAAAACGCTTGACTGCACAGTAACCATGGCTTTTGTCAATATTAAGAACGAATTAGTATGGAAAATTCTTCATAACATAGCCTTGTCATATACAAGTTTGTTTAAAAATCTTGTTCAGTTCATTTTAAATTACCTGTTTTGTAAATATTATATAATTTTGATTTATTAAAAGATATTTTAATGTATCAGCTCTTATTTAATGCGTCCGCTTTTATTTAATTATACTAGCAAATATTTATCATAAATAGAACAATTTTTTGTCAATAATAATGCTGTAATTTCAGTTGTGAGGAAAGAATAGATATAATACGAAATATATAAGAAGATAGAACAGAATATATAAAATATAGTAGGTCGCTAAATGCTCTAAGTAAGTGAGACCAATCAATAAATGAAAAAATTCTTTCTCTATTGCTGAAAAGAGAGTTTTATCGAGACGTATGAGGAAGACATATCATTTGAGAAAGTTAAGCGTCATTTAGCGAGGTTTAATCAAAGCAGAACTTTGAAATATTTTAATTAAATAATTCTATACGCATATTAATTTTTTTTGAAAAACTTAATTGCTTGATAAGTTTGGCCATAATAATACTTGTTAGGAGAGTTTTATTAATTTATTAGAAAGGAATATCTTTCGAAAAAGTTCGGTGTAATTTAGCAAGTTTTAACTAAAGCAACGCAAAACTTACTAAATTTTTTTTATTAGGATGGTTTTAATTGATTTAGACTATGCTTGTTTTATGTTTTCAATAATTATTAATGATATAATATTAGATTAAGTTAGATTTAAATTCATCTTTTTAACTCAACTTTCTTATCTATATAAATTATAATTTTTTGGAATGAAATGAAATTTATGTATAATTCTCAAACGTTTTATTCTCATTTTTTTATTTCTTTTCCTGAAGTTATCTGAAACAAACTTGTTATGTTTGATCCTGTAGTAAGTGGAAATATATCGCAAACCTGCACTCTTTCATTGGAAATAATATAAAGAGCATTATTTCGCATGATGCACGTTGAATTTTGAAACAGGATTCGAGTATCGCGAGCGCTCAGAACAGCTCTAAGCCCACTAGCCGCAGACATATGACATGAATATCTAACTAGTTCGGCAAATATTTTAATACAAAGCTATTTAAATGCAAATTTTTTAAATTAAACCATCAACCAATTGGATAAGATAATGATGTAAAGTTATATTAGGTAAAATTTAAATGAAGTAAAAAAAGCAATATAAGTAAATTAAATTGATATTGATTCCAAATCTGATAATGAATATTTCTGGCGAAATACTAGATAAATGATTACATACAGTGTGAACCCTGTAGAAAATGTGCCTATGCAATTTGAATAATGCAGGTAATATTTTGTTAAATCCCCTTAAAATTAAAAATAAGACATTGGATCTGTTTGCCCCCTGACTGTCTAATTTTACCCCAAAGGTAGGATAAAAAGGAGCAGATAAAAATTGTTGAAAAATAGCAAAAAACATATTTCTGTAATTAAGAATTAGCTGAACCAAGTTAGATTGTTATTTGTTTGATACATATTATGGGTTGTGATTACTTAGAGCATTTAGCCACATACAATATCATTGATATCAAATTACATCTTTTTATATATTTCCTATTCTGACCATTTGTTTCTTTACAACTGAAATATTTCTACACTATACAACATTTGTTTTATAAAGATGTCTTTATTTTTCTAACTCATATTATTATTATGCTCAGATTCTAATTTTGCTTTTAATTCTCACTTCTAATTCTAATCAACTTCAACTCAACAATTCAAATTTTATGACAGTACCAGGACTCGACCTGAGAATCCCTGGATCGAGGATGGGTATGTACTAATAACTGGGCAACTTCTGCCACAATTATATGAATGGCATCTGGCCTTATAATGTATATCAAAAGCCAATAAAAAAAAACTTTTGCCACATTGGGGAAAGAAATTCTGTATATCATTTCAGGTATATTACATCATCAAAGAATGAAAAGTGTGAATTAAAAATTACGAAACCTAGTTGATATTGTTACAATATCGTTAACACAATACTACAATTTATTCATCACGTGAGGTTTTTGTGGGAAGGTGGGATTTGACAAAAAATCACTAAATATCACGTGGGAGGAAGGAGTATAGTAAGATATCACGTGTATTTAATGTTTAACTGATTTGAAAAAAATCAAACAATTTCTAAAAAAAAAATTAAAAATTTTAGAGTTTTATCACGTAACTAAAAATACACGTGATGTTTGGTGGAGGAGGGAGGGGAGGTAATTTTGAATATCACCATGTATCACCAAGGAGGAGGGGGGGGGTCCAAAAATCCTTTAAAACTCGCTCACGTGATTAATGGACGCCCTCCAAGACCAAGTTTTACTTTTTTTAATACCAATATGGTACCATTATTGTACGTACGAAGTAAGAACTTATAGTTAGCCAAATGTTTTCGATCCCCCCTGCATTATTTCTTGGTGGCTAGTTGCATGCTCTATGCGGTGAGCAATTGCACGAAAGAACCTTGGTATTGGTGGCAGGCGATATTGTTTTGCGAATTGCAACTAGGACGTTGACACAGAAACACCTCATTATTATACTCCTGCACATGGCGCATGCCACACTTGACTTTATGCTTTATGATAGTAGAAACTTGAAAGCCTATATGCACACTGGTCGATGGCTCGGATTCAGGTCAGACACGGTGCCGCGGCCCCTTCCGCAAAAAAAAAATGGTTTGATTCGAATGCACAAATGAAAATAAGCCAGGGAAAAACACTGGAGGAAAACTGATATATAGCTTTTTGCAGCGCGTTCAAGATCTTGCTTTTGACTGTGATAAAATTTAGTAAGGGAGGAGATAGATATAATTTAAATCACAGAAATACATACTTATTTTGGTTTTCTCTTTTAGTTACTTGCAGAAATAATTTTAAATGTAATGTTTCTAGGGTTAAAAGATCCACCACGAATATATAAAAAACAAGTAAAGTAAAGAATTTTTTAATCAACAATATTTGAAAGTAGACGGCATACGATGCATAACCTGCCATCACCATGATTCTTACAATGTCCCTATCAGGAGATAAACGGCAATGTTTGAAAATCCATAACAATATTTATTTTCGTTGTTATTTTTATTGGATGTGAGCACTGTTGTTTAGTTTACGAGACCTCAACAATACTTAAGTATTTGTTATTTGATTGTTTTATAAAATGTATTGTTATCAACTTCCCGTAGGATAAGTCCAAAAATCGAAATTGAAAATTTCTACATTTCTCGACGTTTTGAAGGTTTCTGAACATACCTCAGAAAAAATGGATGTGTGTGTATGTATGTATGGATACAATTTTTCAGTCACGTTTTCGGGTGCACGGATCAACCGATTTGAATGGTTTCTGGTAAAGGCAGGTCCAGAAGTTACAGAGATAAAGAGCAAAGAGTGCAGGAAATAGAAATCGAGTTTTTGAGAGAACGGAGTATCTGATTTGAATGATCTAAAAAACATTCAATTAGTAATAATTAGGAGAAGTGGTTATTAGTTTTGGCAAAATATTAGACAATGTTATAATATTTATAATAATCTATTTGAAAACATTCAGTATGCCTCAAACATTCCGTTACGGTACGGGAAGTTCCAGCAAATTGCCTTAACCCACGATTCCATACACCCCACTAGTTTTTAAGTTAGATTTAACAGATTTTTTTCTATAGCCTCTATAAAAGTTTACATATGTGTGGGGTAAAAAAGACCAACTGAAACTTTACCTTTAAATTTAAAAATTTTTAAATTGCTATAAATCTTAAATAAATTGATTTTCAATAATACTATTAGTGATACCAGTAAAGATCTGAGTGGCGTATCAAATCGTATAAAAGTTGAAAGGAATAAAACTAATGTTACTTCATTTTAAATACCGGATTGACATTAAATCATAATTTTATGAATTCCAACATAAATTTTATATCTTTTAGGTCAAAGTAATAATTCAGGTCACGCTGTGCGGAGGCGTCTATTGCAATAAAGGCGCACCGTTTGAAATTCGCAAACAAAAACGCATTGATACTGCAAATATATTTCAATTTTAATTATTTCGTAGTTATATATTTGAAACGAAACTTTTAATGATAATTTAAAATATTATAAAACCAATATCGCCATAAATAATAGCTATAGGGCATTTTAAAATATCACATAATAATTATTATTTTTTAGCGTTAGTTGCATTTTGCAACTATATTCAGAATATAATTATTTAATGTAAATCTAGTAAAAAATGTAGAACATGATGCAGAAAATATTATGGTTACTGCTATAATTTTGTTACAATATTTAAAGATTTCTTGATAATTTGCTATGATTTCAAATAAAC